ACACCAAATTCTCAAAGCTTAAATTATTAGAGATGAAAGACAGAGAGTGGAGAATTTATATTCAGGTATGAAATGGTTTAAACCTGCTGTGGTGTTCTTTCTTTTCTGTGATCTGGAACTGAAGTTGAAGGTCCACTTCCATCTGTGGCACAAGTTATCTCATCCTCATCATCATAAAGATCAGGTCCTCTGAGAAGAGCATGTGCATGTCGGTAAATTCATTTATTAATAAGAGAATTCAAATTCAAATTATAGTTTCTTTATTTTCTTCTGTCAATAAAACCCATTCTACCTCAGTGTCATCCTGTCTGCTTGTATTTGTTATGCACTAACAGAGGTCACACAATTTTCTTGCAGCAAAGAGGACACAGGGATTTTACATTTGTGGAGACAAACTTTTGCCATGAGAGATGACCAAAATGTTTATTATAAACATCCTTTTCACTTGTTTGTACATTACTGGTTAAAAGAAAGTTGATAGTCTTGACCTGTAACTCAATCCTCGATTCTCAAAACTACCAAGAATCAAGGATTAAGAATTGAGGCTAGAAACTATCGAGGATCTAGAATCAAGGATCAAGATGCTCAAATAAACTTTTCAAGGATCTCAATCTGCAGTTGACAAATGACAAAGCCTTTAATTGACACATGGCTCCTCTTTAAACAGATATATTGCACACATGCAAATTTTCATATCCAAGTTTTCTAGAATTGAGAAATTATCAAGTTTTGAGGGTTTGTCAACATACTTTTGAACAATACTGTACAACTATGCCATCTTTAATTCCACCATTGCAAATTAGCTAGTGATTAAAAACAAGCATCTTGTATATTTATCATGCAATGTTAGGTTGTAAGCAACAGTTTCATGCTCACATTAATGTCAAGTGGACTTGCAAGCTTTTGAGGCCTTCTGTGATGGTCTCCAGCTGATCGTTTCCAAATGGTGATCCAAGGTCACTGAATAAATATATCTTTTTTTCACACTTCTTTCCTCTGAAAGGAAAAATTAAATTATCTTCCTTTACAATGTAATTCAGAAAATTTGGATCATTTTGTATCTTTTCTTTTCATCATATTATTTCTTAACCCTTTAACTCCCAAGATCTCATTAGTAATTCTCCTTACTGTCTACCATACAGTTCTTGTGATGTTAGTTTGGAGAATTTGATATTGGATCAACTGGTAATCCCCTAATTAAGATTTTTCTTAGTTTATTCTCAATACTTGTCTGCTTGATATTGTATTGATATTGTAAGGAGAAATTCTGTATTGATCACTCATGGGAGTTAAAAGGTTAAGATGCCAAAGCAGAAATAACATTTTTGATTCTTTGTAATTCTTACACTGTCTGTTCTCGCAACAAATCCACACCAACCACGATGGCATCAATGACTATACAAAAGTTAAGGTCAAACATTTAACATTGAAAAAGTTCTGTATGAAATCTATACTAAATATTATATAGTTACCTATTACTGACCAAGTTTGAGATCCTTGCTGCAAGCACCAAGTGTGCAGCAATAAATCCAAGTGGGAAAAACAAGGTTCTGCAACTTACAGTGGACTGTGAAAATGAGGTTAGTAAATTATTAAATTTATTACATCTCTAGGTTCAGATAGAGGAGGAAAATTTTGATTCAAACAACAATTTGAAGTAAACAGGCTGCACAGTGAAATACCGCCTGCTACATGTAAATTGACCAATCATAGTACACATTCTAAATTCTGACTGAGTGATACAATTACTGTATTATAAAAATAACTTCTAATACCATAATTTATCAGTTAAAAAAAATTGATTTCATGCTACAATTGCCTGTTTAACTAATATATCACAGATGACATTCAAATGTGGTCAGAACAAAACAATTGCACAAGAACAACACCTGCCTGTGTCACCTACATTCTTTTCACAATGACACAGAAATTATTTAAAAAGTTTGTTTCTGTTTCCTGCCTTGCAACAAATCACACAAACAATTAAAGTGGTGAGGATTTGTTTGATGATCACAAAAACGAAAATAATTTGCAGAGATCAGCTGTCACAGGAAAGTTTCAGTATGACCAGCTTCAAGGTTAACCCTTTAACTCCCAGATCAAATTTGTAATTCTCCTTACTGTCAACCATACAATTCTTATAGTGTTAGTTCAGAGAATTTAATATTGGATCAACTAATTTTCTTTATTCTCATCATGTATCTGGTTGATATTGTATTGATATTGTGAGGAAAATTTCTGTCTTGATCTTACAGGGTTAAAGGGTTAAAATCAACTATACAGTAGATCTACATGTCATGTAAAACATTAAAAATGCAGAAATAGTAACAATATTTTGTCAGTTTGCAAGGATACAGTCTGTTTCAACATTACCTGCAATAGAAACACACTTACTGTAAGTGTAAATTGAAACATCTTATATAATATACAGAGAAAACTCACTTAAAAAGGCAGTTCTACTTATGCCCCAAGGAGAAATCAAACTTGATTATGAAAGTGATCTTCACAGTAATGAACACAACTTAAGCAATAGTGAAAAGAAGGCCTGAAAAAAAAAATTTCAGGCCTGTACGGGATTTGAATCTATGACCTCTACGATACCGGTGCAGTGCTCTACCAACTGAGCTAACAAGCCAACTGAGAGCTGGTCACTGTGTTGGTTCCAAATTAAAAGAAATCATATCAAACTAAAACTCACAAAAATGTCACTTACCAGGGGCTATCTGGTCATGGATAAAACGAAGCAGTTCTAAATCAGGCAAACCAAGTCTGCGAGCCACAGTGATATTCTCATATTCCCCATCATTTTCATTCAATTGGTTTGATGTTCCTGTGAACAAGTAATAGTTATCAATCTCAAATCATTGTCATTATGGATTATCATAACCATCCAAAAGTAATGGCCTGGTTATACAGGCTGTGTTTTTTTACAAATAATAACAAAAACAATAGTAATAATAATGATGATGACAATGATAATTACAATAACAATCCTCATGCACAGAACCTTCTGTCTCATAAATTCATACACGTAAATGAAAAAATGGCAGATCAATCATTTGAAAGTTCTAGAAAGCAAACTTTAAGAAATCAAGAAATTGAACTGCAACATGCACATACCTTCAGTACCAAACAGAACTAAAGCAAATTCATCTTTTGTATTTGCAAACATCTAAAATGAAAAATAACTGTAAGGACTTTGCTTTCAGTGGAAAATCACTTGAAATATTGTGCATAGTATGGATCATTTGCCTCAGTTCTTGAACTCGCCAACTGAGTAAATACATGTACCTCAGGTACCTTTCGTAAGAAAGGGCTCCAAGTTCCCTTTTTCAAAAAGTCGCCTTTTGACAAGCTTCAGCTGTAAAATGGTCGCCATAGTAATAAAAAAATCATCATACCATTGGGAGGAAATTTCATGTTGCATTACCAAGGTTTGTACGTTTAATAGTTTCACCAAACATCGATAGATTTTTCAATTTTTTTTTTGTCTGTTGGTCGTCTTTTTTAAGTTGAAATTTTGGTTGCCATGGCCACCAAAACAGTTGTAATTTGGAGTGCATTAGAGAAAAGGGCTGCTTTAAGTTGGTGCAAAGACCATCAGTGTCCACAAAGAATACTGACAACAACTAATGGACGATACGTAGAGCATAAATTAATACGTACCTTTCTTTGTATAATCATGTTGACAGCCTTGACTGATATCTCAAGTGAGGTGGAATGGCCAGGGGGGGCCTGACACATCGAAGGGCCCACATCCAAAATAATAACAACAGCATCCTTAGTGACACACATAAAATAAAGAATTATTCTTTGTGACTCTTTCGAAACTCATACTAATGCTGCATGAATCAAAAATAGTAGATCACCTTCGGGACTAAGGATTCTTTTCAGAATGGTGTAGGGTAATATTGGAGTATTTCTCTTTAACTTTCTTGGGAATTTCAAGAGAGTAATTTGGAGTTTAAGGTATCGGAAGTGAAGAAAAAGATCCACCCGTTGATAGGAAAAACAAGAAATGACTATCAAATAAATTCTGCATTTCTTTCATGAAGTGGACATGTACTTCAGTGAAATCAAATGAAAATACAGGGAATCTGAGTGCAAATGAAACATGTTCAGAAGTTCACCAACGAGTCGAACGACTGATCGCGAGAATCAAAAGGAATCAATTGCAATCCAGATCAGAAGATCCTCATCGCCCCGATCATGCGTTTCTTTGCGGCAGCTAAGATGGTCTGCGTGGTGTTCTACACAGAGTCGTACCCCCGATAACCTCACAATGAATCCCAATTATGGAAACCAGGTTATCTCTCTCATAAAGTAACAGAAGTTCTGCGCGTAAAGGGAACTAACCCATTCCCACAGGTTTCCGATTTAATTGAAACAGAGTGAAAGATCGATTGGAACTTATATTTTCAGGGATTTAGGCGCCCACTCGATGGGTGAAACGCAAAGAGAGCCTAAAAAATAGAAAATTTCGAGCTAAGAAAACAAAGTTACCAACCTTCGCAGCCGCCATTTTGTAAATGTTGACGTCACATGATCCGGTCTGAACTTGCCTGCTATATTTTCCCGCCAAATCGAGTTACCCCGTGGCACCCCCTGTGAAAAATGCTTCAATTTGCTTCATAAGGGATCTAGACAAGAATGAATTTTTAAGTCTTCCAACATGTGATTTCATCGCATAACAATTAACCGAGAAACGACCAGCAAAATTTCAAAAGTGAGAGAAATAAAGAAAGTGCTAGACAATAAAAATGAATAAATGAAGAACTGAATAATTAATTTTTAATGAAATCAATTTAGCACCCCTAGGTAGAGATGTTTATTCTGTAGAAAACATCCGGGACAGTTTGTAGCTTTGCCGGACTCCGTCGATTGCAACTGAAATTCTTCATTCTTTATAACAACCAAACTTCAAGTGCCTACGAACAAACTTTTGCATTCGTAACATGTGCACGAGAATTTTCCATGTTTTCAATATTGTATGCTTCTGAGACTGGTATAGAATGACAAGAAAACGAGATACATTTTTGTCGTTAAGTTACCTTTTCCTCCACGTTCTGAGATCCGGAGAAACTTTCTTTTTAAGTTATTCAGTCCGTGTCTGTTCCAAGAAGGATTTTGTCCGTTCTTGTTCGGACCATGAGAAGGACCTCCTCACTCCCGAAGTTCTGCGAGGCGCGTTGACATCAACTTTTTTTCGCTGTTATCTTTTTGGATTCACGCGACGGACTTTGCCGAAAAGGAGGAAGAACTTGAAATCTAGTTCTTGTTCAAAAGTGTTTTGAATATAAAATATTTCTTTCTCATCATGAGTTATTTTTTTAAAATAAAGCAACCACGGCAAAAACAGAGCAGCCTATATTTAGTCATGGTAAACCGGAAATCCAGAGGTATCCTTTGATAAGACCCTGAACTGCGCAAGAACTGGCAAAGCATAATATGAAGTCTCATTGGCAGCCACACATAGGCTTTCTGTTTAGGTGGCGTGGCGTACGGCATTCCAAAGAATGCCGCAAAAGATTATATAATTATTGTGCGAAAACCACAAAAATTTGCGCAAACTGAGATACTTATTTTATAAGTTGTTTCATTATTTTTTATTATAAATTAATAGCAATTTTCATCGTCTAATCAGCGTGTTACGAGATTTTTAGGCTGTCTTTGCGAGGCTGTAACAGAAACAAGCTCTTAAGAAAATATTTTATTTGCCATTGATGGAGGTTTTTTTTGTCCTCAAAACAGTCTTGCGTACGTGTTCTTATTTCAAATTGCCTGGGGTCATTTAACATTCGTGGGAATTTTTTTTTTTTTTTTTTTTTGAGAAAGGGTTATTTCCATCAAGTAGAGCTAAAAACAGACCGCAATCATCTATATTTAGGCGGAAACCCTAGGGTATTCTATAAAAAGAAAAAAACCGGTAAGGCCAGGCGTAGCTAGTGGCATGGTAATGTATTTTGGTCCAGCTGTTATTTGGTGTTGTCACGCAAAACTTTATCTAAGATTGCGTTCCGTTACTAAACCGCAACTAGTGACACACCTTCGTGGGAGTTTTTGGCGGCGGAGGAAAAGGGAATTAGGAAAAATCGAATAAAAGTGGGTTACATTTGTCATTTATTGTTCGTAATGTTCAGGCTTACCAAGTTAAATAAACACAGAGCAAGGACTTGTGTAAAATTTCCCTGACATCTTTCACGTTTCTATTTGTCTTCACATTTTCTTTTGATAATCTTGAAAGTCTTGACAACTAAAACGTATCGAAAGAGAGACGGGTGTCTTGCTCAAAATGATCGATTGCAACACCTTTTTTGTCATAATTTGAGATAAGAAGGTCAAGTTCACAACACTCACTCTTGCGATGTAATTATCGTGTAAGGGTTGTAGCGAAAACGAAGACCCACGAAAACAAAGACTTACGCCCCGAAAACGAAGAGCCGGAAACGAAGACACCTTTATTAAACATGATCTTGTTATGGTTTCTCGCCGGAGATATCCAGCTCCGGTTTTAATCTTTCTAAGAGTGTTTAAGACCAATCAAGTCTTCGTTTTCGGGTCTTCCTCTTCGGCCGGGAGTCTTCTTATTTAACACTGGTGTTTGACTGCATACTTCATCAATATTAACCTGGCGCTAGAACCATTATGTAGGGGTGATTTTGTCATTTTGTCACAATTGTCTTATTTATCTTCTGAAGTTATGACGAGAAGAAAAAAGACAAGACGCGTGTTTTTGTTGTTGAGTTAACTCTCTTCTTCATTTGAAGATTGCAAAGATCAGGTTGTTCGTCACAAGACGAGTTCTGTGAGGTCCTATTTAGAAGTGTGTTGATGAAAAGAACATTTTTAATATAGAGTTATTTTTGTTAAGTACTACTAAAAACAGAATAAAAAGGCCTTTTTTAAGAATAACCGGAAATCTTGGGGTATTTTAAAATAAGAAAAAAATAAAATTCAAAGATAGCGCTTTGCGAACCTGGCGGCACTGTAGGCGTTTTCTCACAGCTCAATGCGTCGAGTGACGCAATCTTGTTAAACGTTTTGCGTGCGGTTAGGAGTTTCAGGCTCATTTTGTGAGTTTTTAACATATACCCATTTTCCATCGAAGCTCAAGTATTATAATTGAATAGAGCCTTGACAGTTGTTTTGGTTATTCAAATAACATATCGGTACTGCGTATTTACGCGCCCAGTCCAGCCGTCGTGAGCGCCAAATCTTACTTGAATGTTTGACCAAAAATTTCAAGAGTTTTCGAAAGTCTATAGGAAAAAATTTATACGCGCGTAAAGTCTAATGGTAAACTCATCCACTATGGAAACTTTCGTCCATTAGGTTACGCCGGAGAGTGAAACGAGAAATCTTCCTATTTGCTTGCGTGGTCGAAGGTTCTGAGCGTACTTTGAGGTGTCAGCTACGCAGGTTGTCCCCCTGAGATATGATAGCGTGGCTTAAGTAAAAATACTGCATTTCCCAAGTAGTGTTCTTATTACTCAATTATGTATCATTTTTACCTCAGAAATTGGTTAATCTGCAATCCCTAACATGGAGGATCAATGCAGACTAAATTTACTCGATCCATAATTCTTGTCGATTCGGAACCTCCTACCTTAACAGGAATGTTGTCAAAAGTCGCATTTTAAGCGCTTTATTATTTTTTTTTTTTGTCAGGGTTTCCTGACAAAAATCTGGTAACACTTTTTATTAGAAGCCAGATTTAAGAGGGATTTATAGGGATTAAGAAGGTCTGGTTGAAATGTAACCGACCGGCTTAAAGATCAGTTACTAAATTCGCCTTTATTTTTCAAGTATAACATCCACGATCCTTTGAAATGAATGTATCCATGTTTTTTAATCATCATTATTTTCAAGCAAATAAAACTTAATTTCACGTGAAGGATGTCTTTAATTTTTCAAGTGAAACCGCTCTAGGGCATAATGGCTTAGCGGAAAACCACAGGAAACCGTCTTAAAATAAACCATTCTAGAATCATTAATAACAGATTGCATCCAGACAAACTAGGCAATGAAATGGGATTCATCAACGAGAAATAGAACCTAAAAGTTGGAACAGCGGAATGACAGCATGGCGGAAAATTACCCAAAATCCTAAAAGAGGAAATGGCGACCGCCGTTGCGTCTTTAAGGATTTGGGGTAATTTTCTGCCATGGCCACGAAAAGGGATTTGGGATGATTTTCCACCGTTCCACCTTTTAGGATTTGACGTAATTTTCCGCCTTTCCGTCTTCAGGGGTAACTTTTTGCAGTTTCATTTCTTAGAATTTGGAGTAAATTTCCGCCATTCTGTATTCCGTCATTCCGCTGTTCCAGCTTATAGCGTCGCCCGACAAAAACGAAATATTTCGAAACAAGAGAAAAGGATTAAGGACAGTACTTCTTTTCTGTACAGAAACAGGTATTCAGACGTGCAATTCTTAAATGCAAATAAAAGAAACGGATCATGAGCTAAACCGACTGTTTAATAATGGGCTCGCATAACCGCGGTGCAACATTTATTGCTTTATTTTTCCCAAACCAGAAACATCTCTTATGTCTAAGGAGAAAATAAACGCAAAAACGAAGGGAAAATTTGGAGGTTTTAACGCACCTCTTGTGTCCACTCGTTCACCAATGACTTTGAAGTAAGAGTTTCCGAGTTCTACTTTGCACACAATACTTAAAGTAATCTCTTTAACTTTCTTTACCTCTGGGTTTTTTCTAAGAAAAACCAAATTGCCTCGAGTCAATTAAACGACAGACACATAACAGCTTTACCACCATGGGGGCAAACAGCTCGGCGAAAAACACGAGAAATCGTCCAAAAATAGACTATTCAAGAGCTATCAATGACATACCACATCCAGAGAGTCCAGGCAATAAAATAGGACTAATCAGTAACGAAGAGACAAAGATGTACAATATTATGATACATTGGTCAAAGTAAGACAGTCAAAGAACACTTTTGTTGTAAATATTTAAGAGACAAGCGTATAAAAGTGCCGTTTTTTTATACGCAACTTCAGGAAATATATCCTGAGGAAAACTGGTTGCAAAACAGGTTGTGCTATTTTGAGCTCGGATACCGCAGCGAAACAACAATGGGTCCAATAGCAATTTCCGAGAGTCAGAAACACCAATGATGTCTTAGGGGTGTGTATATATAAACCCGATCCGACACAAACATCACTCAGTTCAAAGCAAACGCTGGCTTAAATTGTGGAAGTCGTATCAGAAGAAAACGTCCTTCCTGGCACAGCACAAAAGATGATTCACACCCAAGTTGAGAGAAGAGGTTCTATTTCTGGCTCTTCGGTGACACCACTGGAATCTCGATTTACGAGACTATATTCTTACCAGGAATTTATTCTGGAGCGCAGCATTATGGTTCTCGTGTTAGCATGCTTTGTGACTGTCGCACTTTCCTCAAGATTGCTAAAGCAAGATGTTTTCTGTGCTGGGTTTGTGCGGGTGTAAGAAGTCTGAAGATTGAATTGGAGATAAAAGATTGAAGGATAGCTTCACTTCTATCATAAATACGGCTTGTGCAGATTCAGGTCTGATGAACTTAGCTACCTTTGGTAAACGTTGCGTCTTTTACTGAGGTGCCATGGCATTCTGAACAGAGCACACCTCATTTAGTATTACAATTTTGAGGTCAGAAAAATGCATTTGGTCAGACTGTAATGATGGTTACTCCAATCTCAACTGACAGGCTAAGCGGCCAACGAGAAACAATGGTGAAGAAAAATCCATCGAGAACATTCTTGAGGACATGTACACTAGTAAATGTCGAACGGAAATACGCAGATCATGGCCTAACCCGCAGATCTACGTGGATCAGTGTATCCATCGTGAACTGAGACTTAAATAAGAACTTAACTGATGTATCATATTGTTTAAACAGCAAAAGGAATTGGAAATATAGTTTATCTATGTCAGTAGACCTTGTTGCATAATTGACATGTATGTTTTCAGTCACCGAGAGTTGGTAAATAATATTGTTTCTTGAAAGCACGGAATAGACGTTGTAGAAAACAGAGGAAATATTTTAAAATTTGAGTTCACATGCATCAGTAAAACAAAAAAATAAAGACTTTTCAAGGTTATCTTTGTCTGTCTTTTTGATGTTTCTACACAACGTCGAACAGAACTGTATTTTTACAGAACCTACCAGACCAGTTACGCATGATGTTGCAATATTCAAAAGGCTATGAAACACTCCACTTTCCTTAGCGTCGAAAACTTAAGAGGAGCATTCTTGCAAAGTCCTTTTTGGATAAAGAGGTTTTTTTTAGGATAATGCTTCGGATTGGTTTCAAGGAGAAATTGTGGGTTGGGTTGGGGGTGGGGCATTTCCAAAAAATACTAATTCTAGGGATATGTTGTCGACGGATTCGTGCCTTTTGATCTCTTCTATTTAGAGTTGTGTATCCAGTTTAGGGACCAATCGCTGGGATGGGGTGGGGTGGGGAGATTTTAGCGGAATCACATGGTTTTCAGGGGGAACAGAAGCGGGATGGGTCGTTGCCAACAGAGTATAGAGGGAACTATAGAACATCGACCGCCAATCAAATGCCAGTTAACTGCGAATGAGGGGGTGGGGGGAGGAATTTATAAGAATATTACAGAAAAGGGATCCAAATGCTGAGAGGATCGGTACATACCCAACCATAATATACGCGAGTACCCCTCCCTTGTCTACAAGGCAATGTTGTATGTTATGCAACAGGAAGTTGTGTTCTCGTCGGTTTGATCTCGATCATGGTCCATACACAGAAAGTGTTTTCCCATCTGGAGTAAAATCTTGCACAGCATTTTCGTTAGCTACTCAGATCATCTACAGACACTTAATCTGCCCGTATTCTCTCCCCAAACGTGTCTTAATTTGACGACTTGTGCGGCGCACTAACTTAAAACCTATTCAATTACCCTTGAATTACTGCAAGAAAACTGAGACAAAAAACGTTTTACAAGCCTCCTCTGAACAATTGAGTGCAGGGATCAAATTGGTCGTAATTTGCTTTTTTCTCAACAAAACTAACTCTTTAGTTGCAGCGCCAAAACATGCGATCGTGTCACGCGCGTTTTTTAAGTCCTATCCGCAAACATCACGATCGAGTGGTGATGCTAAAGTTAGCCTTTTCCACACATTTTATCAATAAAACGAAACGCGACAGAAAACAACACGATAGCCGCGGAGGAGTGACTCGACCTAGACCCCCTTCTTTTTCGCTCTCCTGTACTATCGCGCCGTTTACCCATTACGCACGGATTACACACTGTTTTATTTGCCGAAGGCATGGAATGGGAGATGCCACGCTACAGTACACTTTAGAAAAATTGGAAATACAGCAAGTATATGCGGCTCCCCTGTCCCATGCAAACTAGCAGCAGTCGAGAGGTTGAAAGACGAATTTCAACACTTGACTTGAGTATCAAACCCGGTGTGTGTTGTGTCTTGCTGTTATGCAGAAGCGTGAGCTATCCCTAGTGGCAATAATTATGTAACTAACTTAAGATGGAGCTATTTGAGTTTTGCCAGTATTATTTAGTCGTTTAAAGCAAAAGAACATAGCCTGAAACTCGCAAATTTACGACTACTCAGATTTAACGCGGTCATAACCAAAGCAATAGGAACACACAAGAACGCCAGCTTAAACACTTTTAGCAATATCTTGCACACAATTGTGTCTGCTTGTCTGCATCAAGTCACTCACGTGTTACACTTTAAACGTGACCAACTCCTCTTTTCTCAAAAGTGATCAAGAAGCAATTTCTCCAAACAGTATCAATAATAAAAATTTTCAGCTACAGTGTGATGAGAAAACAGAAAAATTAAACTAAGGGGCATTGTCTGATTCAAAACCACATTTTCAGAGCTGAGATGATACGAAATGTATTGCAGACAGTGCACGGATTCTAGCATTGTGAATATGGAAGTGAAAGCGTTTAGATGCCGCCATGCAGTTGACTCCCGCCGTCTCCTGCCGTTGAGAGAATTCATGAAAGGATCGATCTTTTATCGAGGAACGAGCAGTCCCACTTTCTCAGGTTAGATATTCGCTTGAGCGATAATTGTAATGTACAAAAATAATCGCAAATAATAATAATTTATCAGCGAAAACATTTGGGTTGACGCCGCGACTACATCTGTTGCGGCTCGGGAGCATAGGTTGCCCACGCTTGTTATACCGTACTTCATAGAAGCCTGGTCCGCTTTTTCAAAATTTCGGCTAACAGGAGGGTCGCCTATTGGTAGGAGGGTGCTTAATCGAGAGGAGCGCTTATTTAGTTAGCGTAGCTATAGGACAAACAAGTAACACTCATAAAATAACTCGGCAAGTACATGGAGATAGAGAGAATTGGAACGAAAAAGAAGCGATTCTCATGTACTGATTCCGCCGTCCTTGTTCCCTAGAGTTAAGGAAATTAAGGGAGGATTCGAAGGGGTGCTTGGTTTGACATTATGGCTTAGCGGGTGGGCGCTTTTTGGGAGGGGAGGGCGCTTATTTGAGCGAGGGCGCTTATTCAAGGAACTAGGGTACGAGTCCATCCGCTCGATGTTGCTTTTGTGAAACAGGTTTTTTGGTCTTTAAGAATACAACCGTTTTCCTTATTACAATTTGATACAGTTCAGTGTCCTCGTAGATTGGGAATGAGCTACCTGTGCTGAAAAAAAAACAGTTTTTCTGGCGGGTTTGAAAATAGAAATTTGCAACCGTGTTTACAAGCTCTTCTCCAGACACATCTATCAAAACTTGCACAACAAGTCAGTTTTTTTTACTAATAATGTATGCAGACTATGCCTAAAAAGGCGAAAATCGGTACATTGATTTGAGATGGAAGAACTCTTTATTTCAAGGAAGTATAGAATTACATTCATAGATTGTCTAGTGTCGCCTAAAGACCTTCAAATATTCAAACATATAAAAAACGATGAAATACATTTAGTACAATAAAACAACAGTTTCTTGATCTTGCAGTGTGAAACTCAGCGCCGGAAAATCTCAACACAAAAACTTGGAAACAATTTCATCATAACTATACAAGTAAAGAGAAAAAACAAAGAAAGTAAAAATGTTATCCTTTGTTTCAAGTAAGAATGTACGAAACTGAAAAACTTACGAGACTTGCCACTTCCCTCCAATTTACTGTAAAGAAACTGAAATTGGGTTACAACAGAATCAACACCGTTTTTGGACGATTTGATGATTCGAGATATTGCGATCATTATGCGAACCTTTATCATAATTTGCAAAAAAAATTCCACTAAAAAAAAGAGATTATTCTGTGCAAGGATACGAGGGAACGAGAAAGAAAAATATATTTTTAAAAAAACTCAGCGAATTTCTGATAATCACGACATATGCCGCATTTCTTCGAGTAAGCGCCCGGGTACTTATTTAAAATTTCGGCTGAAAAGATGAGAGCTTAACGGACGGAAGGTGCTCAATCGAGAGAATCGCTTATCACGAAACTATTAACCTGTACAGATTCAGTCGACTTAATAATTTTTTTCTCGCCGAGTTTTCTTGTCCTAGATTTAAGGATTTGGCCGAAAAGGGTTAATGATTCCAACTCTAGTAGGTGGAGTTGTCCCCATTCCGCCTAAATCGCGCTGATGTCCAAAGGATTAAATTGTACTCCTGCTTAAACTTAAGTGTAAGTAATGTCAGGAAAAAAACAATAAACTATCATTTGCTGGATCTTGTAGCTGAAGGTGCAGTGGATAAAACGGACGACGGTGAAACGATGCATTCAGTTCCTTGGCCTGCGATGGGGAAGTTATCACAAGCCATATTTTTCGGCCAGGTAGAACCGAATCGCTGCATTAGGGGAAGACATCCACGTCTAACGCTGATACAAAGATCTCTGCATGGTTTAAACGGAGCAATGCAAGATGGAGCATACAAAGAACACAGGAAAAGGGACAGATCTGGGGAACAGCCGACTTTTACAAGAGGAAAAAACTGGTGAACTTCTAAAGCTGCTTCTTCCTGTTTGCGATGATTGAAGAAGTTGGGAAACAGCGTCATATTGTAGTGCAGATCTTGACACAAAGGAATGGTTAAGGCTTCGCATCTCCCTGCAAAGGATTTCAGTGAGTCATTACTGTAATGTCCAGTTTAATTCTGCTTCTTAGGTGAATACACGACTTCGTCAAAAATTTATGTTCAGAATTTCCATCGAAATCAAAATCGATTTCATAAAAACAACTGTGTTTCTGAAGAGTACAATTTACAAGTGTGACCCCCGTTCAGTGTTATGTCATTCCATTTTATAACAATGAAGTGATCAAGAAACGTTTTAAGTACGAAACTTTTGTTACGTTGGTCAAATTTCAGCATCAAGATAGAGACTGGGTACTAATTCCACGCATTCCATTCCCTTCCTGCCGTATCATGGTTTCAAGTGATCCAAGACTATGCCAAATCCTTTTAGTCCTAAGATTCAATAGGTAATTCTCCTTTCTAAATCCCACTCATTTCCTCTTAAACTAAACCTGAGAATTTCGTCTGATATCGAGATAACACCCTCTAGCTGATAGGCTTGTCTACTCTCGTAACCCGTTTGCGAGGTTACATTTGAAATCGCAAGGAAACGCTACATGTTTGCCTCTGAGAAATTGAGGGTTGACACCTGTACTCTGATTGAAGGATGAGAAGACGTACGTTTTATTTTACAGATTAATTTTAGGGTCCCATCAAATGAAGAAACTCTTTCCAAGTGGGTGTGTCTCATAACACTATATTTCGTTCGACTGATTTAAAAAAAACACTTGCTTTTCCTGCGCTTTGGTGAATACACCAATTCAAAAATACTACCGGCCTCAGAATTTGCACTTAAGGTCAAAATCGAGGTAAAGATAAGGACCTAGATAAACGGCCTGGCGTGCCAATTGTCTCCTATACCTCAGTGGTCGAGCATCCGAGGTACTAAAAGGAAGGTCGTAGATTCGAATTTTATTTGGAGTACGTGGAGTTCTTTTCTCTGAGTATGCCTGTGTAATTCAATGAGTGACATCTTCTATCACGATGACAACGATGTTCTGAAAATAAGTCCTTTGAGTATACTATCACCAGCTCTCTCATTGTATGATTTCAATCGAGGCTTTCTACTTTGCTAATCGTATCAAGATGTGGGACGCATGTCACATATCAACTTAGTAATCGCCCAACTCACTGTTGAATCTCTGTGGCCTAACTCACTGAAGTATCTCTTTGGCTTAGCGGTAAAGCGTTGGAGCGCGGAATCCGAAGGTCTAAAACCCGATTCCTCGTGGGGACCTAAAAGTTTTATTTTAACCCAGGCGCGTGAAAGATGAAAACACATTTTTTACACTTGAATAAGTTAACTTATAAGATTTATTGCTTACCAGATGTAGTTTGGTTAGCATTGGATATAACAGATCGCTGAGGAGCTGTACACTGTGTTCCTGGACCTGCAGCGGGGAATTTATCACAAGCAAATTTCTCCGGCCAAGGAATACCGAATTCCTCAAGTATGGGGAGGCAGCCCTTTTTAACACTGATGCAGAGGTCTCTGCATGGTTTGAACGGTGCACTGCAGGAGGGAGCATACAAAGAACACAAGAAAAAGGACAGATCTGGGGAACAGCCGAATTGAACAAGAGGAGAAAACTGCTGAACTTCTAAAGCTGCTTCATCCCGTGTGTCATGGTTGAGGAAGTTGGGGAACAGCGTCATATTAAAATGCTGCAGACCTTTACAAATAGGAATGGCCGTGGTTTCGCATTTTCCTGCGAGAAAATTTTTGTAGAAATATTAAGCACAGTTAATTTAGTAATACAGAATTTAGACCACCTGCACATGGTCCAAGATTAAAATTCAAGCAAAAGATTCTTTAGGATAAGAAGCCAACTCAAGTTAGTTATTTCAAATAATCTATTGCTCAAAATTTCTGTGCTGTTGTTCAGTTGAATGTCACACTTCAACGATGTTAAAAAATTTTGAGCAACCCCGAAAATTTCACTGTTTATCTCCGGCTTCTCTTATGATGATACGACTATGAGTTTGTGTAATCCTGAATGGAGCGCAAGTTTGTCGCAGTAGGATAACCTGTGCACTTTGGCAAGTGTTTTGAGCCAGTTCACTGGGACCTAATAGAACTCCGAGGTGGAGAAGGGGTCTGGAAATAAATATGTCTGTCCTAGGGCCCAGGCCCCAGGGCTCGTACCTGGACCTTTAGCTCACCAACGTGACTTTCATAATCGAAGAAAATGAAACCTATAAAGTAAAACTTCCTTCTATACTCTTTTACCTTTCGTATAAAAGTAATAATTCTTACAACCTTTCTTGGTTACTCACCGTTTCCTAAGGTATTCGTGGTGGTGAGAATGGTAGCCTTAGGGGAGGGCGGTGCATCCAAACAAACAGGGACTTCTGATTTGCGTGAAAACTTTGAACAAGAAACCGGCCATTTCATCCCCAACTGTCTAATTTTAGAAATGCACTGTTTTCTGACGCGACTGCAGAGTTCCTTACAAGGTGCAGTGTATGGGTGTGGGTTACAGGGCGGGGCGAACAAAGAACAGAGGAAGAAGGCTAATTCTTGGGAGCAATTGGTCTGGATGACTGCATCAAACTTGCTTAATTCAAGAGAAGCTTGGTCTTGGGTTTGATGATGAAGGAAGTTAGGAATCTTCGTCTTGCTGTAATGAAAGGCGCTGCATGCGGGCACCCTTAAAGGTTCGCATTTTCCCGCTGTAAAAAAAAAAAATAATAATTATAATAATAATAATAATAGTACAAATGGTATGGTTATGCAGCACGACAGATCTCTTTGTTACAGGATCTTGATGGAATTTTTGGGCCTAATCAATTAACCTTTTCAATAGCATTCCATTTTGCGACCTAACTGGCCAATGTACAGTAAAGATCCTACTTGATTGTTCGGTTACTAATGGTTATGAAGCGCGACAGATCTCTTTGTTACCGCCGGACTCTCCTTAGGAGTTTTGGCCTGACGAAATAATAATTCCGATGGCAACCCATTAATTGTCGACCTAGATGACCGATGTAAGGACCCCTTTAAGTCGTCCAGTTATACAGAAGGGACTAAAAGGTAAAATATGCAGTGCACAGTCAGGGGTCAAAATCTGAACGGTAGCACCGTTTTCTGTCCTCTTTGATTTTGCGGAATATTTCGACCTATTCTCTGGCAACAGACGCCGACCAACAAACTGAATAAAATACCTCTACTATACATCCCTTTTCTGCCATTTCAAATATACTTCCCCCCCCCTTTATTCACTTACGCAAATAAACAACCAACCAGACAAAAACATTTGCCAAACAGCCATTTTGTCTGAAGTATAATTTAAACAAGTCCCAGTATTTCTCACCTTGAGGCTGAATTACCGGACTCGGAGACGGAGACGGAGACGGAGTCGCAACAGTCGCTACGTCAGGTCGATCAATACAGATACTGTCTCCCCTTCGAGAAAACTGTTCGCAATTCATGGCTTCCGGCCATTTGAAATTAAATTTCAGTAAAAGAGGAAGGCATCCTTCTCTGACACGTACACAGAGCTCTCTGCACGGGAGTGGTGGTTTGTCCAGAGAAGTGCAAATGGGAGTGTACAATGTACATAGGAAGAACGCCAAGTCCGGTGAACAATTGATTTGTACCAGAGGAGAAAATTGTTGAACTTCGAGAGATGCTTCAGCTTGAGTCTTGTGGCGGAAAAAGTTTGGAAACTCTGTCATGTTGTAAGGTATATTTTTGCACAAAGGAACCGTCAGGACCTCGCACTTTCCTGAAATGAAACACCATTAAGTTTACGTACCCATAGTACAATTCTGTACCGGCGAGCCAAGTGGCCCATCCGGCCGGAGCTTATTCCGTTTTCCTTGGCATAATTCGATTAAGGCCATTACTTCTCACGCCCTGCCTAAAAACACAAAACAACGACCCGGCTGGGGCGGCGAACACGGACTCCCCAGCGTATTAAGCATCGGGTCACTGCGTCTCATACGCGTATCCATAACACTTACGTTCATTTACTTCATCCACCACATGTTCATATTTTTTTAGCCATCGAAGTACAATGCTTTTAACAACCGAGCAAACATGATCGATGTCTGTTCATTTTGCAAACGATTTGCTCATTTATGAGATTGCTGATGTCATATTAGCGAGTAGTAACGTTCACTTATAAGCTGGGGTTGACTCGAATGCCAAAACTAACGCAAGCAAAGTACAAATACAAAAACGTCACAAAGGGACACCAGGTATGCATGAAGTTCCAGCAAGTCTTATAGTATTAGATTTATCGAGAATGCTTCTGTGTAGTTTCAGGCCCAGATCTGGGAGAAAAACATGGGAGAAATTAACATAAACATTTTTCCATTAGGGAATGGACCTTATATCCCACAGAGAATTTTCTCAGGCCGGGTGTTTTACCCCGACAAGTTACTAAAACATGGAAATTCAGATAATTTAAAAAAAAAAACTACCATACGCTAATTTTTGTTCGAAAAAAGTTTTGCAGAGAAAATTTTGAGCGATTTTTGGGTGTATAACTGTCGTTGGGCTAAAACTACTGTTCATTGTGTAGTTTGATAAAACGGTCAGAGTAAAGGGATCGCTTTAAACCATCGACTGCCGGTTAACCCTCTAACTCCCACAAGTGATGAACATGTAAGTTCTTCCTGTAATATCTAAACATTGTCCAGCAAACAGGTCATGAGAATATTCAAACTTATCAGGTAGAAGTTGTTATCTTGATCTACCACCAAATTCTCGTAAATTATTTACAAGAAAATGTGTCGCAGCTAGAGGGGAGAATTGACAATCAGATCGTGGGAGTTGAAGATTAAGTCTGGGTTGGAAGTATACTCATTACCTGGAACTGTGGGCTGCGGCTTCGTAGTCGGTTCTGGTATTATCTGTCCATTGAAGCACGGTTCTTCATCTTTCCCAGGGAAATTCCTACACTTCAGGATTGAAGGCCATTGAAGGCCACCTCTTTTTGACAAGCGCATTTCTCGCTTACATTGTGATCTTGCCTTCAGGCAAAACTCTCTGCAGGGCAGTAAAGGGCGTTTGGTCTTTCTGCAAGGTGGTACGTGGAGTCCGCAAAGGAAGGTGGACAGAGTCGCGGAACAATCTTTATCAGCATTTCGAAGAATTCCCTCAAACTTCTGGAAGCTAACGGAAGCTTCTCTAGCATCCTTGTGACCGAAGTAGTTTGGGAACTGTGCTTGCCAGTTTGGAGGCAAGAAACGGTTGCACTGATGAGTTACTGGTCGGCATTTCGTTGCTGAGTGAGCCGATGCTATCGAAAGAAAGTTGAAGATTGGCAAAGGTAATGCTATGTCTGTAATAAGACCGCCACCCGAAGTTACCGAACTAAAACCAAAGACTGTTGATGGTAACGCGAAGGGGTTAGAATCGTCTTAAGATCACGCTATAATCATTAAAACTTAAAGGAAACCTTACCATTGCTGTCAAAAGGCAGCGGCGAATTTTTTAGGAGTAAAGAACACCGTTTACTCAAGAAACATTTTTCAGAGGACAAAAACCCTCGCCATTTTTACCACAAATAGGCAATGATATCTAAACACATGCAGGAGAAGTTAATTGACATGTGTCATACCTGGTGTTGGTGTGTTTGTGCTCTTCGGCCATGATCCGTTGAAGCACTTTGATGTGCCCTCTTTGGGCAAGTTTTTGCATCTCATGGAGGGATCTAAAGTTATCTGAAACTTATTAAGAAGGTCCCTACAACTTTTAGTCGCCCGCTTACAAAGTCCTTTACAGGGAGGTATGGGCTGCTGGGCCCCACCACAGGGAGGTGCCAGAACTGAACACAGAAAATGTTCTATGGATGAGGAGCACCCGCTTTTAACCAGAGGACCAAGCACGTTTGCCAGCGCAATTGCATCATCTTGGGTTTGGTGATTAAGGAAGTTTGGAAACTGTGCTGAGCTGTAAGGCATATTCCGACACATTGGAATCCTTAAAGATTCACAACGACCTGTGGCGCAATTAAAGTACAGGTATTAGAAGCCTTCGTGTCACCTGGTCAAGCTCCCCACAACAACACCTTTCACCAATAGGTGACTCCTGTACACTGGCCCCGAGAAAATTTAGCATGCTTGTTGAAAATCTTTGTTAAGGAGTATGAAAACGAGCCCTCCTTTTCTAAACAGGTAAGATCTTTGAACCTTACGCGACATCGATATTTCATCAGAATCGATCCCTGGAAGTGCTGGAGAGATGCACGGGGTCGAGGAACAATTTTCCTCCCTTTACATCTCCGAGCTTTTGTCTCACGAATAGGGACAGATTAAAAGTCGCCTGAGACGTTCCTTTGTTAAGACCAACAATGGCGCGAGTTGGGGAGGAAATTCTTAAAATACTAAAACACTTAACACTGGAGAGAGATGACATATAAGAAAAGTGCTAACAAATTAAATCCGCCCGACGCATCACGTTCATCGACAGAAAATTCTAATTCTTACGTTTTCCCCTTAAACCAACGTAATATATATTAATAATAATAATAATAATAATAATAATAATTTTTTTCTCTCTATCATGAATTTCATACTTTGCTTAGATCTTGAAAGCCGAACACGTTTCCTTTTAGACAATTCCTCGAGGGAGGATCTGTGCTCAGTCGCAGGAGTGGAAACTGTCTTTTTGTCACCATCTTCATCTGCAACATAGGAAATAAGCGTCGTTTAGGATCTACTCTTTCAAGAGAAGATTTTGAGGTCCCGTCTGTCTTGCAGAAGACATTTTTTAAAGGATAGAATGAGCTTTAGCAGGCCAATCAAGTCTTACTCAGTTTTTAAACTATTACGGATGTTCCTAGCGCTGAATCGAACTGATCCGCACAACAGACGGCTTAAGGAATTTAAAATGAGAAAGTTAATATTCTTATGAAAAGAAAGTGCGTGTTTCTCTTTAAATGGCTTTCTAATCTCCTGGGAAGCAGTTATTTTATCTTGTAACGCAAGGCGCTTCTCCCCTCAAAAGTGGGAGAAAGCGGATAGGGTTGTTTACTTCCTTGTACAGATACATAATAATGGACGATGTTTCGCGGACAAATATCTCTGACTCAGTGGCTTTATTGTACATATAATTTTTGCAATGATGTCGGGGTCAAGAATTCGCAATAGCCATCAAAAAGTCAGTGCATTTATATGCGCCGTCGAGGCCTCCTTAAAAACCATAACGGATGTAACACCATAATGGGCATCATCTAATCCCAATAATAGACCGAATCGACTCAAAAACCAAATTTAGGGCGGAAATACCTGTACAGTTTTTAAAGCGTTTCCCCCTTTCGCCATTTTGAGAAGTGAATTATCATTTCTGCAAAAACAGTACCATACTTTGTTGAAAGTTTCAGTTGTTGCTAATGAAATACTTATGAAGAACGGCGAAAAAGTGCCTTTGGGATTTTTTTGGACCGCAAGGCATCTCAGTGGCATACCTTAAAACAAACCCTAATGGTGCGCGAAAAATAAACACGATAGGGCATTTATAATTAATGATTAACTGGTTGAATTCTCACCGAATACTGGAAAAAAAAATTTGTATCGATCAAAGCAGAAAAGGAACGAGCGGTAAAACTGATACAATTACTTTAGACTTCCTGCTGTTTTTTCTGTTATATTCCAATCAGTATTGGTTCATAATGTCATACCCACGATTAGATTCGCATCTAGACAAGCATGCTACGGAATGGGTTCCACCGAGGCCATTCACACGCGATACCAAAACGGGAAAGTTTTTATATATTTGCCAAATATACGCTCGGCTCAACAACACTTAACCACGATACAAGATTAGGGTTTTCTTTGACCTACTTCTGCATGACAGTAGTAGCATATGTTTATTCAAGTGATGCCAGCATTCAAACTACAAACCCGGCTGAACAGACGGACAAACCTTGATCTCCTTTACAGACAGTTAGTAGCAGAACATCAGAGAGATCGGATTGCAATACGTTCAAGACCGCAAAATACATAGTCTGAAAGCGCACATTCTTTTTGATGGTTTTATTTAGTGGTATTCATACTTGTTTGTTGGAAGGCTAATAGCCATTTCGAAAGCTTTCTTGTCGGTGAGGCATCTAGCTATAGGCGACGAGTTACATAATAAACCAACCACTTTCTTTCTCAGTACGCGGCAAAAGCAATTTGTTCTGTTGCATTGTGAACGAAATCTCGAAATGCACGTCGAAACGCTGAGTGGGGTATCCCGCCAGCACAACTTGCCAGGTAAACATATATCTCCCAAAAAGTAAATTCAACTTGACTTTTTGCGGGTATTTACAAGACCTGACCTGACTCTGTAGCGAATTGTTATGAGTGAAATGTGATTAAAAATGAGACTGCTAACAAGTAAATTCTCCACTCCTTAAAACTATCTCTAAAAACGCAACTAACTTTACCTTTCCATTTCTGGTACTCTGCAACATTTCCTTTCAAGGTTTTTATTTCTTCGTCCATCACGATCACACAAGCAGTAAGAATTACTGCCAATCCGGCTAGCAAAACAATAACAGCAAACAGCAGTCGTCGCCCACCGTAAATATTAGACTCTGCTTTACTCGACTTTTCAGAAGACATCGTGAGTATCCTTACCACTCACTTCGTCCAAAGAAGGATGTGCTCTTCTCTCAGGTTTGGGCTGTTCTGCTCTTACGATGCTTTTTCTGCGTCATAAGGGCGATAAGCCGATAAAAATTTAGCGAAAAACAGATCCAGTTACCAACTTGTCGTCACTTTTGCCAATGATAAGTTCCTTATGTGACCTCGCTGATAGCCTGTTGGACCACTCGGCTTGCATAAAGGTAAATTTACCGATGCCGAGAGATATCCTGTCCATTTCACCCAGATTTGCCTGAAGAAAAAATAAACATTGTAGAATCTGCCAGATTCATTAACTGACTTCTCTTTTGTCGCGTGCAATGTAATTCCATAAATAGTCACTTTTCAATTCAATAATGCGGTGTTAAGTTTATTATCAATTTTGATTTATCTGAACCTTTGTTTTGAGAGAGCAATTGGCAGCTGTATTGTTTTGGTTTGCTATGCCTTTTCTCGTACAGCATGCCACTTAAAAATATATGTATATGCCACGTTGTTTTTGAATTCGGGCCTGGTTCCACACTCTTGCGTTTTTGAGCAAGGGTAGTAGTGCTCGGCATTTTTCGACTTTTGCCCTTTATGACTTTTACGTAGTCTATTTTTTTTCAAAAGTACTTGTACGCTTTGGCTGATTGTAACCCTTTAAGTCCCATGAATGACCAAGACAGAATTTCTCCTCACCATATCCTTACAATACAAAGTACACAAGTAATGAGAGTAAAGAAAAATATCATTTACGGGATTATTAGTTGATCCAATACCAAATTCTCCGAACCAACATAATAAGAACTGTATGGCACACAGTAGAGAGCATTACTGATGAGATCTCGGGAGCGAAAGAGTTGAAACGGCTTCTTGAATCATCAAGAAATAATTTTCAAGCAAAGAACGAGGAAAGAAGTTTACCAGCTGGACAAACTTCAAGAATTGTTAAGGTGTGAATTCTTCACAATTTCCATTTCAAAAGTAAACACGTGTGATTTATGATTTGAATTCAATCTAGGTTTGTTTTTGCAGACAACACGTGATAGGGAAAGCTTGTCGTGGTGGCCTTTGGCCTTTTATGAGAGAATTTGTGGGCGCTCATGGCACGGAATATATTTAGTTTCAACTTGATTTATTGAATTGAGCCGGTTAAAGAAAGTAGCCTTGAGTTATAGAGGATGGTGTACCCTCTCTCCTCTAAGAATGTATGTCCTTATGTTAAAGCTGAACGTGTTTATGCCGAAATGGGTCCGAAAAATTTTATGTATACATTCCCATCGGAATTGCCGTTGATTGTATGTCAATAATTCTTCTAGTACTTGCTTGGGTGGTTCGTCCATCAATTTTATTGGATGAAGGAGAGAATTTAACGAATTTTATAATAGGAAAATAAATCTTGTTTACAAACTTTAGTTCTCGCAAAAAACCAGTGCAAAATACAATCGAATCTTGGAAGTAAGAGGTTCTCAATAGAGTGATGCCTTTCACGGCTAACGATTAGATTTTGGTCAATTTACAGCTAACGGTTGATGTCTTTCCATTGTTGTCACCAGGAAAAAAATTTCAGTGAATTTTTTTACGACTAAAGGTGAAAATTTGTCCATTTTTTTTGCCTTAAGGCTAAATTTCTTGGCCGTTTTATGGCCAACGGTTAACCTTATTAAGACCACCAAGTAGCCACCCTTGGCGCAGGAAAAAAAAGTTGCTTAATAGAAGAGAGAGCTTGAAAAAAAAATTGTTCCAAAAACTTATGAACTGGATCCACCAATTATTACTATTTGTTGCCTGAGTAATCAGGAAAGGAAGCTTAGTTAATCTATTTTGTGCTGCAAAAGTTGGCAAAACATAGGTTGAAACGAGAGGGATCAATCCAACAAGGTTCTAGATAGCGAAATTCCAGACCATTGAATTGCTTTCGCAACGGAGAAAAGCAAACTCAAAACATAAGAGAGGTTACAATTTCTCGAGAAAGTACAAGGACAAAGGAGATTCAAATAGATTGTGAATAGCAGACTTGGAGAACTTAGGCTACATTTCCCAACATTTACAAAATGCGACGAGGCTGGTTTAACTGTTCTCGAGTTGAACTGTTGAACTGGTTGTTGGTGGCATAAGTGGCTGAGCTCCAATGCAGTTGGCGCCACTCCCTGCGGAGGGGAATTCGTCACAGTCGATTTCCTCTGGCCAAGGGTAACCATACAGTTCAATGTTGGGAAGACATCGACGTTTCACTCGCTCACAAAGCTCTCTGCAAGGCTGGTACGGCATTCCACATGGAGGAAAATAAAGAGCACACACGAAAAGGGTCATCTCTCGGCTCTCACAACGCAAACCAAAATAGAAGGAAGGATGAATTTCAGAGGCGGCCTGTTCTTGAGTACTGTGATTGAACAAGTTAGGAACCATTGTCATTGTGTAGTTGACATCTTTACAAATCGGTGCAGCTAACGCCTCACACTTCCCTGAAAGGATAAAATAAGAATCTTATCAGTTGCATATATTCAGTTCTAGGCCAATAGTCATGTATCATATTGATTCGATTTGGCACTCGGGGCGCTTATTTACTTTGGTTACTTAAAGGGTTGGGAGAGGGGGTTATTAAAAACAGGGCGCTTTTTTTTTTTTTTTGAGAATCAGCAGAATATGCGAAATATAACTTAGATATTTATTTGAAAGGGATCAAGAACACCGGAAAACGAATTAGAAAGGAGGCGCCTATTGGAAGGAGGGCGCTAAATCGAATCTTAACGGTGGTCTCCCTTGTAACTGCTCCTTGATGAGTACAAAGAGCAGCTCCGATGGAGATTCATAGTCATCGGTATTTAGCCGGCTTATATATAACTTCATTAATCATCAAAGGTCTGAACTCTCAGCTAATATCAAAACCTTTCGCTTGATTCGAATTTACCAGAATTTAGAACTACGTGCGCGAGAACGGCTGAACAGTAAGGGAAGGAGGGTGTTTCTATTATTTCTTTCTATGGATCGTTACATTTTATATTCAAGAGCTTACAAAAGGTATCATCTCACCTCCCCTTTTCTGTGATTGTGAAATTGCGAGTTGGCTGGTTTCCTGGGGTCTGTCAACGCACACCTCTCCACTTTCTCGAAGCGGAAACTTTTCGCATGCCAGCGTGGAAAGCCATCTTCTTCTAAACACCTTCAGTACCACAGCACACCCACGCTTAACTCGAAGGCAGAGCTCCCTGCACGGTAATGGAGGCGTGTCTAGAGTGGTGCACATCGGAGCGTACAAGGAGCAAAAGAAGAACTCCACGTCACGTGAACATTTCCTGTCAACAAGTGGCCAAAGTTGATGAACTTCGAGAGATGCTTCTTCCTGCGTTGTGTGTATGAAGAAGTTTGGAAATGTCGTCATGTTATAGGGTACGTTCTTACAGAAAGGAATGGATAAGGACTGACATTTGCCTGATGTGGAAAAACGAATAGGAAAATAAGATTTTCGAAAATAAAAAAATTCTCAAAGTTGGTAAAAATTTTTTCAGCATTTGAAAATACTGCTCTCAACGATTCTTTCAAATGTTATTAAATGCCAATGACCAATTGAATAAATTGTTATTTTGATTTATTTTCCATTTGATATAAGAACTCAGCTTTGGTGGAATGACTTTTGATTACATGAACGCCTTGATATGTCAATGGGGTCCTGTTTTTGACGTTTGGAGGCTGCTTGAATGTCTATAAGTTGCCCTCTCTTGTTATATATTTTAATCATCATGCACACCAGTGCAAATTTTGTTGATATTTTTTTCATAGCCACTAAATAGTGAGATTTTTTTGCGAATGTACATGTTTGGCCGGTTATTTACAGGAAGTCTAACCCAAACCACGGTTTTACGCAGTCGGTGGACCAGGCTTTGTACATAAGGGGATTGATTTAGTAAAAAAAAAAAAAAAAAGGTCCTTCCACTGTTAGCTTTCGGACCTCTTGACACTGCTTGCAAAAATACATCTTCAGATAAAACGTTCAGCTAGATTGAGGATTGTTTACTGAGACTACGGTTTGGTAAACGAAGGGGACCTTTTTTTGAATAATCAGACCTTGAAGTTTGCAATGGCGAATCGTTTTCATTTAATACCTGGTTGTGGCTTTGCAATCACTCCGGTTGAAGGTCCATCATAGCAAGGCACTTCTCCTTTCCTTGGAAATTGCTGGCAATTAAGATTCAGGGGCCACTTAAAGCGAAGGTGATCGAAGACCCGTTGGCATCGTGTCCGCGTTTGTTGGCAAAGTTCTCTACAGGGGGGAACGGGAAGAACCATTTTCCTACAAGTAGGACCATATAGACTGCACAAGAATCGCGATAATAGGAGTGCACAGTCATTTAGGGCAGTGTCAAGGATTCGTCTAAACCTTCCGAAGCCATCAGAAGCTGTTTCTGCGTCCATGTGACCAAAGTAGTTTGGAAACTGAAGAAACGAAGGTGGAACGTATGAAGCACATGGATGTCTTTGGTAAAGATCTACCGTCATTCGAAAGCATTTGGAAGCTTGTGGTCCATTGTAGCACTTTGATGCACCTTTTGGTGGTAAATGGGAGCATCGCATGGCAGGTGGCAACTGAAGTCGAAACTTCTTTAAAAGATGTCCACATGGCTTTGTTGCCTTAATACAGAGCTCTTTGCATGGTGGATTAGGCCTTCGGAGGCCATTAGAGGGAGGTGCCACTAAAGAACACAGAAAATATCTGAGAAAGGGAGAGCAGTTGCTGTTTAGAAGTGTTTCAAACTTTGTAAGAAATTTCGTAGCCTTCTCTTGTGTTCGGTGATTTAGAAGGTTTGGAAACACTACCAAGTCATTCGATGATCTCCTGCAGAGAGAAATTCTATTCTCTTCGCATCGGCCTACAAAAGGATAAATGTATTGTTACTAAGATAAATAGATAAGAAATATTGGCTGAAGAATTCAACCATAAAACATGGCAAAAGAGCTTGCCAACTTGAAAATGTAATAAAATGAATGAATTGAATGACTAAAATCAAATAAAGATCTTCATTTAGTGAGAAGGAAAGTGAACAAGAAAGAACGAAGCGAAATAGCTATTTCAACGACCAAAGAGAGGATATTATTTTCATTAAGAATGTGTACTTACCGCCAGGCTTACATCGCTGTGCTCCTTGTTTCAAAGCTCTGGACAACCGCTTGTGCCTTCCTTTAGTTACCTCTTCGTACCTGGATGCTTCCTCAGTCAGGGGGCTAGTATCCCGTGCTTTGTTATCATCGTCACTCGCGTCACCTGAGTCAAAATCACACAGCACATCCTTAGAGTATCGCCTCCCCTTAGCGAAGAGCTCCTCCCTTCCCTCCCCCCATTATGAGTCATAATTTAAAATAACCCCCCCCTCGAATAATCGCTTTCAGCGCTTTCTCGTTACATTAGACAAGTCTTAAGATAGCCTTAAGAATGTATAACACGGGTCATGTTTATAACTTTCGAGCGGCTTTGCACATTTGTACCGGCTGCATTTGTGTCAGATTCTATTGGGATTGAAATTGATTTTACGAACAAACAAACGAACTGAGGCGCTACAAAAACGTGAAGACAAGCTTTGTAAACTGATAAAAGCCCCTAAAGCCCATTCCCTGCTATCGTCCTCAATTTGAAATTAACACCCCAGGCGCTAATTAGATGATTTGTGATCTCAACAATCACTAATTTTGTCCAAAAAAAAATACTCTCTGGCGCGCTTGAGGGCAGAAAGGTGTCAACACCTGTGATTGATATTTTTGATTTCACTTCAGTTTTGGCTTCGTACCAACGAAAGGTCAGATAATGACAAACTCCTTTCTGTAAGCCTGTTGTAAGATCATTGTTTTCAAACAAAAAAAAAGTTATTGGTGTTTGAGATCACTTTACGTTACTCGAGGAAGGACGAGGGGACATTCTGCCATTTAACCCAAAAGAAATTAACTTGGCAGCCACTCCAACCTGATTTACTAAGCAGACAAAGATCTTCATGGAAGATGAATTTCCGGTATTAAAGATGACTCTAAAATCCCGTGAATTGCGCTCGTGGGAACAAGCAGATTAAAATGATTCCACGTTACCTACATAGCCCTCAGATTAATGCCATACGTTAGCAAAGACCAGCAAAAACAATTACAAAAAAAAAAACAACAATACCTGCGACAGTGCCTCTCGAGTTTGTGATTTCTTCCTGAATCAAGATCATCCCTGCTATCAATACTATTACGACCCCAGCCAAAGCAACGATTGCAGCGAACCGCAGTCGTCGCTCCCTCTTTGCGTGTGTCTTCATACCCCTGCCCTCTATTATTTTTGAAGATATCTCAGCCTCCTACCCGTTGATTCTTGAAGAAAAGTAACGCTTAAAACTGTTCAGTCTTACTCTAACGATGGAATTGATAGCTCTAGGCAGTGGGCGTTTAAAAACGTCTGCAGATATTGTTTTGGCCATATTTTGGCAGTATTAATTGTCCGGAAGGGAATATCATGTTACTTTCTCAGAAGAGATTCGCTTCGTTCAAGGAATTTTGCACGCTTTGAGCACGCTCTAAGCACGCTCTAGGAATAAGAGTATCCTCGTTTGTTGATTTATAAGCATGTGGAATTTTTTCTCACAACCCTCACAACAGAAGAAACAAACTTGCAAAACTAATGGAGAGGTTTTGGTGAAAAGCCGCGGACGGACACACAAAGGCAGCTTTGAAGCCATGCTTACCACTCTACGAAATTTTCATCATTCGCACGAAAGGCAAAAGCAAAGGCAAAAACAAAGGCAATCAACGGAAAATGACGAAACAATTAAACAATTGATTTGGCTTTTAGCAACAGATCTATCTGACGAAAAAACTTTTAAGGGGGAAGATCACTTGGTTTTCGGGGGAACGGAGGGGACGATCAGAAAAATTGGCAGCCAGGCAACTGTCGAGAGGTAAATTTTATCGCGTCACCAAGCAAAATTCTCTACCTCTTTCCCCCCTGTCACTGCAATAAATGATGAGCGGTTTCTCTGAGATCGTTAAATGTTAAATGATGGACATCGACATAATGAATTAACCATTTAACTCCCAAGATCTGATCGTCAATTCTCTCCTCTAGCTACTACATATTTCCTTGTAAATTGATTACGAGAATTAGGTGTTTAATCGAGGCAATAAATTGTACTGATGAGTTTGAGTATTCTCACTACCTGTTTGCTGTATAATGTATGGATAATATAGGGAGAGGTTACATGTTAATCACTTCTGGGAGTTTAAGGGTTAAAGGTGCTACCGAAAATATATCTGTCAATTCGTTTTTGACTGGTTCGCCCAGCATTGTATTAATTTACATTGATAGTGGAAATTCTCCTTTTCTTTTACCTTAGCGTTTGAGAAATGCGGCTTTTCATTGAAATTTGCGCTTTCATGCTGGGAAAAATGAGATATTATCTACTACTACAATAGAAGACTGGTATTCTCAGTTGCGCTACAAGGGTATCAAATACTACTCCTTATTTTATTTTTTTTCTTCCCGATATTACATTAATCAATCCCTACATGTTCGTTTTCGAATAACGTCAATGCCGTATCATCAAATTAAGTCTCTATCAGTGTTCCAACCGGAACGAACAACTCGGAAAGCCCACTTATAAAACAGCAGTGAGTAACAAAAAGCACCTCTTCCAGCGATTAAGTATATTGCTGCAGTATATTTATCAGTTGAGTAAAAAAGTATTACAGACGGTTGTCTTAGTTTTCGTGGGATCTTTTAAAAAAGTGCCGTTAGCTTTTTTGCTTTTAAATTGAGAAGCCCTCTTTGATTTTGTCGTATTCCACGAGAATAAAATAATACAAGTGTCTGTTGTTAATCGTAACAATGGAGTTAGTTTCCGAAGCGTAAGTCTTCGATTTAACGTGCGTCAATACAAGAATATAAAAGAATTGGTAGGGTACGGGCAGTCCCTCTTCCCCATACATCTTACGGGATAGAAACGAACAACTTGTCGCCCGCGTTTGTCGCTCAACATTGGTGATCAAATTTCCTTTTCGGTATGCGTGAGAATCTTCCAAAACGGAAGCAAGAAACTTTTAGGCCGTAGCAGTAAAAATGACATTGGCGATCAGAATCCTCCATGCGCCTTGTCAGGCAATTGTCACTCAGGGATGTCACTGGGATTTTTCCAGAACGGAAGCGAGGAACTTATAACCGACGTTAGAAACATAACATTGGTGATCAAATCTTCCAACCGGCATGTCAGGGGCACTTATCCAAAGGTTCTTTTCGGGAATGTAGCATTCCACTGAACTGAAAACGGAACCTCCTCTGATGTCACTCACACCTCCAATGACATAAATCTTGTCACCGTGTGCCACAGCAGAGTGCTTCATTCGAGACTTACGCATCGGAGCAATGTGCTGCCATCTGTTAAGCTTTACGTTGTACACCTCACAAGAATTAAGAACATTCTGTCCGTCATAGCCGCCAAAGATGAAAATTTCGTCATTCAACGTCACAGCAGCAGCAAACTGTCTTCCTTCGATCATGGGTTGAACGGAAGTCCAAGCATCTGGATAAAAGTGAAGGCATTTAGTAAGACAAGAAGATCGGTAAAGCAAAATATGTGTTGCGATTAAGGGATGAGGTAGCCATCTTTGTTTACTGCAAATTATACTTGTTCTTAGCAGTTAATACAGTTAAAAGGCAAGAAAAAAAATAACTAGAAATCGCCGAGAATACCAACTGACTGTTGGATTTACCGCAGGCAGCCCAAGCTCTAGTTGTGAGATGATCATCTTGCGAAATAAGAGTCGTGACGAAATTATAAAAGTATATTACACGTACACGTACATAGTAAACCTAGAAATGGATAATTCGCTAAAAAGGGGTGCTTTTCAATATAGAGAGCGGTCAGATAACAAATGATGCGCTGTGGAAGTAAGATGAAGTATTTTCATTGAGAATTTGACAATACTTTTTTTATTCCTAAGAGCGGTAATAAATATTCCCATACAACTATTATGATTTCGCCATGACTCTTATTTCGCAAGATGATCATCTCACAGCTTGAACTTGGGCCGCCTGTGGTTGCACTTGTTAAATAGGAAAAAAACGAAGGGAGCGTTCAATGATAGATAGCACGAATGAACTCTTTTTATTCAAAACATAATTGTCTCTTTTTCACATGTTCCATTTATAGACTACTTTTTCGGCGACTTTGATGAGATTAATTTGGTAGGTTTTTTTAAAAAATTTTCCTGTAGAGGAATGCCTTTGCTCAGGTTTTACTCTAGCAATGAGTCCTCGGTAAGTTTCGGTCATCTAGCTTATGCATAACATGGTCCAACTTGTTAAAGTGGTCCAAACGGTTATGAAGGGTTTACAATTACTTTCACAAGGAAACCCTTTCCTATGCACGATCTATTTTCGTAATGAAAGGGAAGATTTGATTATGTATTCAAACTAACTCAGTCCTCAAATGGTGTCTAAAGGTGGGCGTATATTTACCTCTAGTTGAATCATAACATTCAACTGTTCGCATTCCTTCACGAATAGCAAATGTGTTTGGTACTTGGAATCCACCAATTGCATACACATTGTCTCCAGATGACACTAAACAGTGGCCTGCCCTGGGAAAGAGCAAAGATTTTCGCTGTCCAACGAACCAGGATCCATCTTTAAGCTCAAAAATACTGACATGAGACGTGCATCTATTGGTTTTGGGATCCAGGCCTCCAACAAGAAGAAAGGTGGTGGAACCTGTGGACACAGCACCGAAAGAGTCCAGCTCAACATCATGCACTACAGGTTGATGATCAGTTGCATCCCACGAGTTACTTTGACCGCTGAAGCGTTCTATGAATGGAATCGCTCTTTCTTTAACGCAGACATCTCTTAGCCCCCCAATAGCTAACATATTGTCTTGTGAAGTTACCAGCTGAAGCCTGGAAGAAATTAGTGAATAATGTGATCTCAAAAACACAACGAAGACAATAGCAAAACATGCAATAAAATAAAAATTATTTACATACTTTTTAAATATAAACTTAACTGCCTTAGAGTCATATTCGCAATTCGTGATAATTTGTCCTTCCTACACCATCTTTCTGCATTATTTAGAAATGTTTGGAGCTTTTCTACCCGGTTGACGTATTCCGAGATTTAATTCTGTGTAAGAGAGCTTTTGTCTACATCCAAAAGGCGTGACCTTGAGTTCCTTTAATAATGTGTAATTAACACATAACTTAACATGATACATGCTGGTGATACACGCATGATACACGCATGATACAAGGCCGGCTAAATGTTGAGTACTCAGTCAGTCGTAACCGGCAAAACAAAAGCCTTTTATAGATTTACCTCCATCGCGGCAGCTTCATGGCCGACAATTCCACCCACTTGCTAACGACAGGAACAAAACAACAGACATTGCTTAAGATTGCTGAATTATCGCATCCGCCTGCTACCAGAATCACTTCCACACTTCGGTACGATTTCCTCGCAGTCATTTTCCCAGCTTCTTTTTCGTAGGTAGCTCCTTTGAATTCTGTAACAAGTCTTGGAATGATCAATTCATTCAATTCCTTTTCATGTAGCGGGTCATTCAATTGTGACAAAGAAACGAAAGATAGTCGAACTAATTTCAATAATTGACCACAAAAGTCTTTCCTCGCTTCCAAATCGTAGCTTATCCAGTCGGTGATAATTTCAAGGAGTTGGTCTTCATTTTCAACCGATATATCATCACTGGACAGGAACTTGATAATCTCTTCTTTGGATAACTTCAAAAATGATTCTGTCTTGGCAACTTTACTAAATTCTCGATTTACGTATTGGGTGACTGTTTGACTTAGATCATTGCACGAGAAAGCGTCAGCCATCGAAAGAATCATAAAACAGTTTTCTGTATCGAGTACACTCTGTAGAAATTGACAACAAGCTTTCTTCACCTTTTCCACAAATAAATAATTTGATGCTTCTAGCAATTCGAAAACATTTTCGATGTGAATTTGAATCCGTCCCGTGTACATGAAATCTAAAATGCTTTCCATGGCAGTAGCAGTAATAGTACTTACACTGGCACTTGTTTTATCCTTTTCCAGCATTTCTGTGGTAAACATGGCAAAGAAGAACCGGCTATTGGCCGCGAGAACTGCCTTATGTGCTGAAAAGTTCTGGCCATCCACTGTCAAATTAACATCGCATAATATTCCTGAATGTCGCTGTGTGTTCAGCACTTTTAAAATAATGTTGTCATCGCCTTTCAATTGAAGAAAAGAGGGACCTTCAATGGTTCTTACAAGGCCCATAATCATTGCCGACTTTGACAAAGCTACCTGGATGCATGAACGCAGTAAAATGATGAAATATGATTGAAGTCCAGCTTAAATCACGCACGCTTCAGTCCCGCTCCAATGACCAATTTTTCAATACAGTTCGTAATTGATGTAAACAAATCATTGTCCTACAGTGATATTGAGCAACCTTAGCTTGCCAATATTGTCATGTGGTCTCAGGATTTCCGTTTCATGGATGAAAGTTCGTTATAATAACAAGTCCTACATAAATGAAAGTGTTCTCTTGGTGTTTGTTCTGCTTACAGCTGCAAAGAAAGTCAAATAAATTGGCAACATATTTAAGAGGGATGTTTTTTTTTTAAGTTTGATTTGCAATTACTCTTGACAACTGGTGGCAACTGAATTATTAAACTCGACAAAAAAAATTTACATTAGAAAACGTATATAGAACAGGTAGCGGAAATCCCTTAAGTACTTTCGTGGGATTGTAACAAGCTTTTGAATTAATGAGTACGCAAAAAGTTACTGATTTGTCTCGTAAGTGGAATAAAAAGATTGGCCTGAAACAACTATCCTGAATAGAAAGATAATGATTTTACGAAGGGTTATCGGAAGAAATGGTTGAACTGTAACCGTGTTAACTGACGCGTTCAAATCTTTCTTTGCACGTCAGAGAAAAGCAATGCGGGAGGGTATCTTTATCACTTTTAAATCGTTAGTTTAGTCAAGTGCTCACACTCATTTGATATTGTACACGAAATTCTTGCCCACAAGCCTTTCAACAATCTTTTCCAAGGAATGAAGGACGACTTCCTCTTGCTCCCACGAAATAAAAAATTACAGATATGAATTGGAGCTCAGCCACCAACACGAAAAGAAAAAATAGATTGCGGGATCTCGTTTTGCAAAAACCGAGAAAACTTTAAAACCCAAGGCTCCTTTCAGCCGAAAGAAAGAAGTCAAAGAAGATTGCTAGGTAACGAAAGGCTAATATAGTATTCATGCTCATAATTTATTAATGTGTTAAAGCAAATGGTTCGATAACGTTACTACGGAAGGTCAAGAAGTGCGTCAGTGGTTACAATTGATTCCGTGACGTTTACTCTCCTACGCAGCAATGTGTTTTGAGTCTTCACGTAAATGTATCGTCATTAATTTTCGCCAACGAGTCCTTTAAACCTCTCTTCCAAACAATGAGAGACGTTCCCGCAAAAATTTGTATTGAAATAAGAAATAAAAATACTGCCAAAAGAAACTGCAAACTTTATTTTTAATCACGTTTTAGTCACGTTTTGAAAGAACCGAGAAAGCATAAGTTTCCTCCAGTCTTAACGAAGAAGACTGTTAGGCAATGCAAGGCTATTAATTCATAATTCATTGAAGGATTAAAATTTAGGATTTCAATTAATTTACTACGGAAGTTCAAGAAGAGCGTCAGTGCTTACAATGGGCTCTTTTTATGAAAAGCAGAATTACGCGCTCATTTTTGATTGCAGTGCGCACTTATGGTCTATTGGAGAACAGAATCGAAGCATGGCTGACGTCACATGATTACCAACTGTTTGCATTCCATATTTACGTGCTTCTTTCAAGCAATAGATCATAGAAGGAATCAAACTGTGGTAAGGACATCAGTGACACTCGTTTGCACTTCCAGTGCCACTTTTTCGATCTTACCACATTTTGATATCGTCTGTGTCTATTACTGAACAGGCGCATGTCAACTTGGAATCCATTTGTAATTAGTATACCATAGTTCTAATGTTCAAGGTTTGATAACAGTAAAAGCTTCTTACGACAATCTTATTTTTTCAACTTCCCTATTGTGTCCGACTCTTCCTGTTTGCTTTCCCACGCAAAAGGGTGCTTTGAATCTTGGTATGAGTCATTGATTTCAAAAGAATGGTAAGTTTAATTGAGCGACCGGAAGAAACTTATATAGCGCCGTCGTTTGGGAAGTCGTTGATGTCTCCTTTAAATCATCGACGAACTGACGATTTAATCCAAACCGAGGTTTGGGAAACAGTATGGATAATACCTTTACTGATATTAGAGAGAGAAGGGTTAAATTAGCGTTGATATGGAAGCTGTTATGTCACAATAATTAAAATCGATTTTACTTTACAATGTGCACGATTGTCTCGGTTCAAATGAAAGGAGACTCTAAATATAGCTCTTTATGGTTGAAACAACGCAGGGAGGGAACGCATTTAACAAAAGTAAATAAATATATCCTAGGATTGGAAACTATTAACTCGTATTTTCAATATTCTCAACCGTTACCTTTCTTCTTAACACCAATTAATACCAGCGTAATACTGGTTTCTTTTTTTAATTTGAAATTCGAACGCGAGTTCGGGGATTTTTTTTTCCAATTTTTCGATAGCTCGTAAGGATAGGATTGCTGCATGGAAACCCACAAAACTTTCTTAACATCTTCATTTTCGAATAAGGGGGGGGATTTTCTATCGAGTAGCTTAAGAGAAAGCGACCAAGAATTTGGCTTTTTGTGTTTACGCTTCAACACTGCAAGTCACTGAAATTCGCCGTTTTCAGGCACAAAATCGAAAATCAATGATGCTCAGCATCATCAGGCTGATTTAAGTTATACTTGGGTACGTTTATATTTGGTCTTAAATGGAAATATCATCCTCACGCATTGCAAAAATATTACACTTTTCGATATAAATCCGAACAAAAGAGAGGAACACAAACAAGTAAAAGAAAAGTGCGTACGCATGTTCCTCCGCCGGCCTTTTGAGAGAACGTGAGGTTACTTAATTTAAGCGGATTAAGTATATAAGTCCATACATAACCAGAGCGGCTAAGTCACGTTAATAAATTGTCTGTTTCAATCATTTTCATTGTAAAGTAACATCAAATAATTAGCAGGAGTTAGCAGTGTTAATATATGTTCATGTGTAAATACTGTCACCACTGAAAGCGAGAAGACATTTTGAGGAGCGAGAAGTGGTTGAAGCTGTAAATTTAACACTGAACTGATATGGTATTCGAAGGATTCTTGACATTGGATGACAATTTATCATCTAAGCATGACTACCACCGAGAATAATTAAGGTAATAAAACTGCCAATGATAATAAAGTAAGACAATCATGTATGACTAATTTGAATGAAATAGAAGACATTTCATTATGGAAATGAAGTCAACGCAAGAGTTCTTGAGACGAAAAGTGAGGGTTGTAAATGGTTATAATGCTATCGGTTATAGGAATATCGCAATAATGTCGAATAAAAGATCAAACTGATAAGTTTGAAATGAGGTACCGACTGCGTTTTCTGTTTTATTATAATTTTTTTCTGATCTTTTGCTAAGTATCCATTTGTGCCAACGGACATTTCGTACCCAAATTAGAATGATTCATATCTAGTGTTTGTGCGTTCGTACCCGACCTACTGGTATATTCGTTCCCGTCCCAGCATACGCTGATGATCAAAAGCCACGAGTTTTTACGGAATACTTGTTACGATTGGTCCAGGCCGGGTACAAATTGACTGAGTTGGAAACGTACGTAGGTACGAAACGACTGATAGCGTTTATCTTTGTCGTATCCTTTTGTTAGGATTAATGAACCTAAAAGTACACAGAGCTCAGTAGAGGTCCTACCAAACTGATTGATAGAAACGTCCGGCCTATTTATCAAGTCAGAAACAAAAGCTTGCGTGCGGTCAGGTAACTTCCGACACAAATTAATAAACCGCAACACTGTCATTTACATTCATTAGAGACCAGTCATTATATCGTCCATTATATCGT